GATGTCATTGGATGTGCAGGGATTCAGTATACCTTATGTTTAAGTTCCTCAACTTGATGGCAAGGATGAACTCGTGCAAAATGGTGGATCATGAAACACTGGAAGAATTCAAGCGACTATGCGAGAATTTTGAGCATGCTAGTCGTATCCGAAATCAAGTTGCTAAAAAAGAGGTTAGTTCAATGTATGACCTGTAGGTGTCTGCCCTCAATCACATAAATCAGTCAACATCTTCGTCATCTTCTGCGAAACCAAAGCGTCTAAGCCGATCGCGATCTTCATCGTGTATAAGCCCATCAGTAGTGATAACGTCGGAACAAGAGAAACGCACTCGTGCAAACCGCGCACGAATTCATCGATTTGGGAATGTTAGTACCAATTATCAATATTTTGGGTTGTTATGTAATATTGTGGTGTTCTTGAGGTAAAAAATCCCATCGATGTGATCGATACTGAGGACTCGGAAGAGGAAGAAAGTATTGCCGATACGTCGTATCATCCTAACTTCGAACATCATACTCACCATGCTGAAAAGAGAAAGACAAGACTTAGCGTAGTGTATGTTCAGATGTTATATGCAGCCATTTTTTTGCATAGTTTTGCTTTCCAGCACCGATTTGTCGCCTATCCCTGATCTCACACACATTCAACATGACAGCACTGGCGAAGGCCCGATGTCTCCACGAAGTCGACGACAGTCCAGGCTACATCACCCTCCTGCTCCCATCTTCCCTGAAGAAAAAGAGGTTTGTGTGCTTCAGAGACTTAACACTGATCGACACATATATTTTTTAGAACATATGCAACGAAACTTTCCTGGTGGATTCCGGTACTTCGAGCACTACAGGCCATCCAGATGCAGGGGATTGTGCTGTAAGTTCGAGTTTGCTTACTTTCAGTCTTTTTCAATGTTTATATCTGCAGCCTGATGATCCAAATCCGCTGCGAAATGCGACTCTTGTGTCTGGACTTGTTCCTGATCTCGATGCCGATCTTGGCCCACTGTAGAATGATTATCTAATAAACTGGTCACTGCCTGCTTACGTCACTTCTCGAACCTGTTTTGTGCCCCTGTAGATTTTATACTTCACTTATAATACTAATTTCACCAGTAACAGTACGGTTCTGCACTTGTAAATATATTAATTGCTTTACGAGATAAACTTTTAACCATACCGTTATGTTTTGCTTTCGTGCTATCACTACATAAATATCGCTGGGAGCCTCTAGACTTCATAACACTAAATAATGTCTTCAAAGGGTTTCACGCCTGATGAGCGATCGGGGATGTTCTTTTCCGAAATGGACACCTCCTGAGATCGTTTCGGCATACTCGGAAAAGGTGAACATATCCTACCGTTTTGTATAACGATAGCCTTGAATTGCTCTTGGCATTACTTCAGAATATTACATCTTTATTTGATTGGCAAGCAGAGGTACTAGACTTTGCGGAAAAGAATGATGACAAT